ATCATTACACTTTAATAATAATAATAAAATAAGAATTAGTTCTTATTTTAAGAACTCGTATAAACAGCTCTACAGATTTTACTTTACTTTTAGGAGAGATTTTAGTTAAAGTTTATGACAATTATAAAATACTTACACCCGTCTTTTTTTATAAGAAAACAAATAGATGTGTTTTTTTTATCCGATTTATAATAAATAGATATATATACTTTTAGATATATTAATCGTTAATTTTTTTTATATAATTGTGTAAGTGAATGCATTTATTAGTCTTTTAAAACTACAAGTTACACTTGCAAATAAAAAATATTATCTTTTGAATTAGGTATGATCATTTAAAATCTCTATTTAAATTTTAAATCAATCAATTTAAATGATATTTTTTAAATAAAATTTATTTTTATGAGATTATTAATGAAAATTAACGATTTTAACTAGTTTTATTTGTTTTAATAAATTAATTATTTTTCCTATACAAAGGACTATGTTTATTAAATAAGAAGTGAAATGTAAAAAACATAATAATAATATGAAGTGAAGCAAATGTAATTTTATATTGTCTCCATCTTATAATAAGTATCATTTTAATTTTTTAATTCAATATATTTTTTTGTTTATATTCCTAATAAATGTTGATCAAGAGAAATGATTTTATAGAAATTAAAAAAAATAATATATATATATATATATTAATGTCATAAAGTTATTATTTTTTACTTATTTACTAATTCTTTATTATGAAACAGATAGAATATTTTTTAATAAATTTTATCTAATTGTAAATAATGTGTTTAAAAGAGTATTATCATTAACCAAGTATAGGAGTTTGTAACTATTCGACTTGGTCTCTATACTGTACGACATAGGTTGAATATCTATAACTTAAGACTATAGACATACAAATACTATAATATGTATTATATTGCACGTGTATGAAAGAAATCAAATAAGTAAATAGATGCAATATACGTATAATAACCCAGTAATGTAAACTATACATTTTTAGTTATTGGTTAGGCAACTACATTGTCTATACAAATCTATCATCAACGAGTAGTCAACAAAATATCCTCCAACTTCTATGTCACTAGGTGGCCTCCACAACAACTCCTCAGCTCTATCCCTATCCTACTCTCATATCACGTATGGTCATCGTAGTTCACATCACATAGAAACACGCAAGGGTAAGTTAAAGTAAAAAAGAAACAACACACACATATATATATACCATACTAGAACATCATATCGTCATCTCTTCTTTGACAACACAACAACTTTACAGGTCACAACAACACACTTGATCACAATTCAACACAACACATAAACAACATGATCAACTCAACATATCATATGTTCGACATAGCAATTATATGCATCATTACACATTTTAACTAGGAAATCTCCAACAACACAGGATGAATAATTTAAGTGACTTAATCCTACCAAACTGACAACATAAGGTGATCTTTTTGGGCTTGCCAGATCAATAACAAATTGGATATAAATCCACAACACAACAACTCATTTTCTCAGATATCGCCTTTTAAATACAGAAGTATAGTATTAATGTCAGGATATAACAGTTGGATATGGGGCCTACCATTGTATTAACTAGTTTAACCAAGTCTCCTATAAGATTAGCCCATCTATTACCCTTCAAATACTACAACCTTCCGATATCTAATTATGAACTAAGTTCCTGACTTTATGCTTTACATAATTTGGTCACTTGTAATTAGTATAGCTACCCATCTATTATGGTCGCTTCGTATATGTGTACCTCGATCTTATCCACACACAGTACCAATAAATTTCTAAAGGATAAACAACATAACATTCACTTTGAGGGTTATCTTTCCAAGAAGGGTTTTCAACAAATTTGGGCTCTTAGAGCATCACAATACAATATTCACAAAATGGGATATGTAACTTTTGAAAACTTCCTCTCTAATTCTAAGTGGTCAACATAGCTCAATAACTCAACAACTCTTTATAAATTCAACACAGCAACAGAATCAATATACAACTTTACATCTCACAACTCAACCATCACAACTCATATTCAACTCTAAAATCAATAATTATTTCAACAATGTATTTTATATTCAACACAACTACACAAACAACATGCAACTCAGTCAACATACAACTCATAACTCATATCTCATATTGCCATATAACAACTTAAATTAGTAAGAAATCAATAATTCATCAACCATATCATCATGTTTTTCTTTAACAACTAACGCTAGACACTACTCTCCTTGTGCCCAACACCATCCAAACAGGGAGCTCTCTACCTTGTCCATGTCTGGTGCTACACGACCCACATCCATCGTAGCTAAGGTAGAGACCCTTAAGACCTCATGCTTGGTGGGGTAAAACATCATGTCTAGTCCCATCTCAAGTAAAGAGTCCCTACCTAACTCTCATTCGACACCACCCCTTTGGTGCTTAACAAAATCCAGACAAAGAGTTTTGGCTTAGCCATGATCAGTGCCACACAACTTTAGGCCCAACGTCACCATGTCAAAGGACTTTCAGGGTTCCTGTGCCTGGCTCCATTTAACCACATCCAATGCCATCTCAACCCGTGACAAGTCTCTCTCCTCATGTCCGGCGCCACCAATCATGCGCCTAGTGTAATTGAGATAGAGAGCCTCAAGTTAAAAGAACGTTTGACACCTTGAAGACACGCCCTACGCAGTATCATAATTTTGTATATATAGAACCTAATTTTAAGCAAAAGCCTACAATGCAAAAAGAATCCAACACATGCAACATCAAACAACAACCATATACATCACAATCAACATATATGTACACTTAGATTCAACATATGCAACCACAAAATATATTTAATCACCACATTTTTCACCAAGAACCCAAACCCCAACTTTCAACACACAACACTCTTTGATTTGATCCACATTCAGCCATGAATTGAAATGAAATCATGCAACATACAGCCAACACAACCTTAAACAACTCAACCAAACCACAAAAGCAAGAATCTAGCTTCCCTTACCTTAGGTAGCTTGAAGTCAAGGTAGAAGAAGAAGAGAACAAAACTCCACACGAGATCAATGACTTGATTCAAAGTTTCCACCACTTAAATCACAATAATATAACTTAGAAAAGAATTAGGGAGGAGAAGAAAAGAAGATTGAGAGAATAAGAGAGCTCACAAATCAAAGACCTTCTCTCTAGAATCCTATATCTTTAAAAAGGCGAGGAAAATGAGTTTATGAGACTTTGTTCAAAATAGAAATCTTATATATTCTTCTCTTCAGGGTCAAACTGGGTCTCTACTTAGAGAATCCCTTCTCAACACCATTGAATCTCTAAAGTGATCCTCAAACCTTTAAATCTTTCAATTCTGACAACTTAACTTAACAATTAGAGGTAATATAATACTATCACAACTTATAGTGTTATAGAGTTAATCCTAAGACTGAAAATTTCATGTTAACAAGGAAATAATGACAGGATTTGGAGATCACTAGTTTAGTTAGACTTTTACCTTAGGTAAATTATTTAAGTCTTTTTTTTTTCTTTACACTTTTACAAGTATAAATTTAAAATATAAATGTGTTATTATATTATTTAAGTATAACCTTATTATTTATATTTAAAAAATCATTTAATTTCCACCTATTTTAGATTCTACCTTGTAGACACCCAATTTCGTCGGGAGCATACAAACAAGGAAATGAACCTTTGTTATGGAGGGAAGGAGCTCCCGAAGCATGCAGAAAACAAGACAGGACATTAGAAGGCCCAAAATCCCAAACAAGCTGGTTTTAGAAGACTGGGACGAGCTGTTCTAAAACCGGAACGGGTCGTTCCCAATTTGGAACGGGCCGTTCCAAGTTCCTAAAAGGGCCAAAACCCTAGTTTGGAACTATTACAAATAAAATTAGAATATATAAAATAAATATCAGTTAGGGGTATGATTATCTATTATATTTTAGACAAATCAGTTACAAGATGACGTATAACTTTATATTAAATGTAAATTTTGTAAATTCAACCGTTAAATTTATATTTGTAGGAAAAGCTATATTATTGATGAAATATTTCAGACAAATTTATATTTGTAGGAAAAAAGTAATAATTACACCTATAAAATACATTAAACTTAACAGTTATCATATTTATAATTTAAATAAGCAGCAAACTAGTTGAATAGATTTTAAAAAGCAGTTCTTGAATTGAATTAGATATTTACTCTTCAAATAATTCTTCAATTCATGGACAACTTCAGCATCCTTAACAAAGGAAACAGCATAGAAGTCAACTCCGTTATCCACTCCAAACTTGATATCATCCCAATCCTTCTCTGCAACAAATCAATGTAAATATTATTGTCCATAGACCATAGGAAACCACCACAACATCAATCTCCAGCAAAACTACCCTTCCACACAACTATAGGAAAAAAAAATATATATATATATATATATACTAGAAAATTCAAAAATAAGAATAAATAATAATCCAAAACCTAACCAGTGATGGAAGGCAGTGTTGCACTTTTTCCTCTAACATTCAAATGTCGCCTTGACTTGAGCTCTCCTCCATCAACAACTTCACATTTCACAGAATCCTCTGTCTTAGACTTAACAATCATAGACATCATACCACCTACATCACACACCAAAGAGTAAGCAAAAATACATTTTCACCTGAATGTTGCATCCCTTTAAAAATAAAGAGACATCAGCATTACTTCTTTCAACAATTTAGTTCATTTCATATGTTGATTGAGACTTATGTAACAGATATAAACAGCATCCTATTATCCTGCACAAATAAAGATGGAAGGTAGGATAGCAGTCTTTTAACATGTTTGTTTGCAAACTTAATGATAGCATACAATAGATTACAATACTTATGTTCAACCAAATGCTTTCACCATTAACACTGAACTTGTTTATTTGATCAAAAAGCTACCAATGTGCCTCAAAAATGGATTAAAACACCCAGATAAGTGATAACATATTTTCACCAGAATGTGACCTTGAGAGACGTATCTTGAAGAATGCATTAATATTGTATAACAATGAGATTTGCCACCATTGCAGGGAAAACTCCTTAATAAGATTTAATTTAAATAAATAGACAAAACTGAAATATACCAATGTTTGAGTGCTGATTTAGTAATCCATGAGCATAACAAAAAGTTTAAGTAACTTAAAACATTTTATTTGAATATTGCAATTGATCAGTTGATAACCATACCATCAACAAGAAGCATGTCCCCCACTTCCACATCACTGACAAAATCATCATAGTTCACACTAACACTATCTGCAGTTCCAACACCTCTCTGAATAGTAAAAGTGAATTCCTGCCCAGGCACTAAATTGATTGGCTGTGGCAAATCCCCGCTCCTAACCTCAGGACCCTGAGAACAAAGAAAATATATAATAAATAACTAAGAAACAAATACTTGGGATTTAAAAAGAAGAATGTTTGAGAGGAGTTTCGTGCATAAGCTGCATATTTGATCTTATGTTTGTACATATTATATTAACTTATTATCTGTTCAAAACAGCTTATAAACAAAACCTTGCTGAGAGGATTTTTGACAAACAAAAAAAAATCAATTGTGCTGAAATTTAATAAAACCAGATATGCACTCTTATTTATGGCTTGATAACAATCAAGCAATCAATGGAGGGAAAAGGGGCAGTAAGAAGCTAAACGGACAACCTTATAATCAGTAGTCTATCTGGCTATCAATTTAATTGCAGTTGATCAAGTGCTAATACCCTAAATATAAGAGCTATGGACTTCCCTTGATCCTTCAATAGTAGAATAATTTCTGCTGATTAGCTTTGGGGTCTCTGCTACAAGTAAAACTTTCAATGGCAATGTGCAACCTATGCTATTATTTAGAGCCATTGGTTGAAGCATAACCCTCTCTTTTATCTACATTTTAATAGGTCAAAAGTTAATTCTGATCAAAGTAGTTAATGGACAATGGATGTAGGTGGGTTTAAGTGAGGTTGAAACAGGGTTCAATGTGGAATGGAAGCTGTCATTGCATCTTACCACTGCAGCACTCAATACCACGATGATAAAGTGCTCAGCAACATGCATTCAGAAGAGACTCTGGCCTAAGCTGCTATAACAGCTATTTTGTTTGCATTGACAAACTTGATTAGGATTAGGTTGGGTTATATGCTGACCGGCTTGTTTGGGTTAAAGCCATTGTCTCTTCAAGCGGGTTCCCTTACAGATATTCAGAGGACTGGGCAGCTTTGCTCTATTGATGTTTCCTCTTTCTCAGCAGTATTTTCCATTTTTGTGGCAGGGGATCCTTTATGCTTGAATGAATTGCTTTTATTTTTATTATTTACACCTTAAATAACACAGATAGACAACAGAAAGTAATTGCACAAAATTCTCCAAATTAAATTATGGCAGTATGTAGCATAATGAGTTAAATCATTCTGAGAAAAGAAACAAAATTAGAATAATAATTGCCTACTGATACCAAATTTGTTAGCTATTGAATCACTGAACAAAAACACTGACATTTGGTGTTAAAACATTTTATAACAAAACAGAGAAACACAAATTTGCAACAGGAGTGGATAAAAAGTAATCTATATATAGACAGAAAATATTATAGCCATCAAAGCCACCGCTACCTGGTCCCTTGGGAAACAGCAGAAGAGGAACCGCTGCTATCCAAGGTAGACCCTCATATTTGCCATGCATGCCCTCTCCTATAATAATCCAAACTTCAACCTCAATATCATATCAAACTTATCAGACAAAGATCTAAATGAAATCACATACAATGGAACATTGTATCAACCAATCATACTGTATACAAATTTCATATTTTCATCCAGAAGCTTAGTTACAGGGGGCACTTATATTATTAACCACTCATACCCGCCATATTAAATAATATATGCATTGATGAATCAAACTGCTTTTCACCTAGAAAACATGGTCAATACAATTAAGAGGAACAATATACATCAGCAGTCACATTCATAATGTAGGGTGCAATAACTAAACTTTAAAATATCAACAAAAACAGTCCATTTTCATTGCAGCTCCCTCCAAGATGATCACGACACCAGTTGCCACATTAGCAAGTCGAACACCACACACAAAAATCACTAATAAAGAACTAATCAAAGTAGATAAAAGTTAAAATTTAAATTTAGGCAATACGCCTTTCAGTCACCGTTTTTTAATAAAAATAAGGTTTAAATTGTGGTCAGTCATGGTTTTGTCGCATTCCTTGAAATTGTGGGAAATTTTGAATAAATGCGCCAATACAGTTACAATTGTGATCATTTAACGGTCATAAAAATTCAAGTGATCATTTTACGGTCATAAAAATTCCAAAAATCTCAAGGTTGCAGCTGAAATCACAGTCCGGTTGCAGAACGATTTTTAAAACCATAGTTTTAAAAACCAGCTACAACTACAATTTCAGCCACAACATCAAGATTTTCGGGCTAGCCACAACGGTATTACAATCACAATTGCAGACGCATTAGTCACATTTATCCACAATTTCCCGTAATGTGAAGGATCACAACAAAATCACAACTGCAATCACAATCTAAAACCTTGGAAAAATCCAAACACTAATTACATTTTATACAATAATAGCTATTTAAAAGCCATGGATAGAAGCATCCCATTCAACCATTTTTGAGCAAACTATCCTGCCTACCTCCAATAAAAAACTGTGACAAATGACTAGCAAACATACAGGAACAACATAGCCCGTCCTAGAAAATCAAAAGGGAAAAAACATGTTTGAGGGAACAAGAATAACCAACTAACTAACCTTTGTGTCAAGCATGATTGCAATCACATTGTCCTTGCATTGAGCATTATATTGCTTAACCAAGTCAATAACCTTCTGGTGAGAAGCATGGTCCCCATGAGACATATTCAACCGAGCAACATTCATGCCAGCCTCAGCCAACTTCCAAATCATTTCCTTGGTATCGGTAGAAGGTCCAATGGTGCACACAATCTTCGTCTTGCGCCTAAACGTGGGCTTAGACCACATCCCACCCGAATTCTCACCAAATGACTCCACCCCACGTAAGTGTTGCAAATGCTCCTCAATCTAACCACCACAACACAAAAAGGGTCACAACGATCACCCCCAAAAAACTCAACCAACGCAAAAAAAAACGAACCTTTGGATCATCTTCGGGCGACACGGGGACAACTTCAGAAGAGGCGGAATTTCTTGCACTGATCTGGAAGCTTCTGAGGGGGAGTTTGAAGCGTTTGGTGGTGGACCCTTCGAAAGGGAACACCTTGGAAGCAAAAGATGGAGGCTTTAAGAGGATTAGAGTTGTGTCACGTGTGGATCCGAATGGGGGGCACAAAGGGGTGGTTTGAAAGGATCGTGAGGCTGTGACCTGAGCCATTGTTAGAAAGAGAGGGAAATGGGGTGAGAAAAGAAGGAGTGTGTGCGTGTGAGTATAAGAAGAAGAAGAAGGAGAAGGTGAGGGGGAAAATGGAAGTTGGAAAAATCGCCGCGAGGTTCTGAGAAGACAATGTTTTACAACTTGGGAAGGAGGCCTCGTTCGTATCGAACACAATGAATGAACATTGTGCTCTTTTGTTTTGAACAACTTTCTTCAACGTGGTTGGTGTTGGAATTTAATTAAAGTTATTATTAAAATTAAAATGGACCCTATTTTTTTTTTAAGCATGCTCATAATCCAATTCAATCAGTAGGGTGGTGTTTCGGGTTAGGTTTTAGAAAATATCCAATGATAGATCAAAATAACCCAATGTATAGAAAATATCTTGTTTTATAGATCAAAATAACCCAACTTTTAGAAAATGTCCAATGATAAAATTCATTTTGGATACTTAATACATTTTTTTTATAAGTCTCTCAATGTTATTATATATATAATTTAAAAAAAATTCTATTTTTTTTCCGGTAGAAGTACTAAACATAAGTTATTAATTTATTTTATTTAAGTTTTACGGTGAATTCACTTTCATCTTTTTTTATCAAGAATCAGTTTTACATGTAAAAGTCATATCATTACACTTTAATAATAATAATAAAATAAGAATTAGTTCTTATTTTAAGAACTCGTATAAACAGCTCTACAGATTTTACTTTACTTTTAGGAGAGATTTTAGTTAAAGTTTATGACAATTATAAAATACTTACACCCGTCTTTTTTTATAAGAAAACAAATAGATGTGTTTTTTTTATCCGATTTATAATAAATAGATATATATACTTTTAGATATATTAATCGTTAATTTTTTTTATATAATTGTGTAAGTGAATGCATTTATTAGTCTTTTAAAACTACAAGTTACACTTGCAAATAAAAAATATTATCTTTTGAATTAGGTATGATCATTTAAAATCTCTATTTAAATTTTAAATCAATCAATTTAAATGATATTTTTTAAATAAAATTTATTTTTATGAGATTATTAATGAAAATTAACGATTTTAACTAGTTTTATTTGTTTTAATAAATTAATTATTTTTCCTATACAAAGGACTATGTTTATTAAATAAGAAGTGAAATGTAAAAAACATAATAATAATATGAAGTGAAGCAAATGTAATTTTATATTGTCTCCATCTTATAATAAGTATCATTTTAATTTTTTAATTCAATATATTTTTTTGTTTATATTCCTAATAAATGTTGATCAAGAGAAATGATTTTATAGAAATTAAAAAAAATAATATATATATATATATATTAATGTCATAAAGTTATTATTTTTTACTTATTTACTAATTCTTTATTATGAAACAGATAGAATATTTTTTAATAAATTTTATCTAATTGTAAATAATGTGTTTAAAAGAGTATTATCATTAACCAAGTATAGGAGTTTGTAACTATTCGACTTGGTCTCTATACTGTACGACATAGGTTGAATATCTATAACTTAAGACTATAGACATACAAATACTATAATATGTATTATATTGCACGTGTATGAAAGAAATCAAATAAGTAAATAGATGCAATATACGTATAATAACCCAGTAATGTAAACTATACATTTTTAGTTATTGGTTAGGCAACTACATTGTCTATACAAATCTATCATCAACGAGTAGTCAACAAAATATCCTCCAACTTCTATGTCACTAGGTGGCCTCCACAACAACTCCTCAGCTCTATCCCTATCCTACTCTCATATCACGTATGGTCATCGTAGTTCACATCACATAGAAACACGCAAGGGTAAGTTAAAGTAAAAAAGAAACAACACACACATATATATATACCATACTAGAACATCATATCGTCATCTCTTCTTTGACAACACAACAACTTTACAGGTCACAACAACACACTTGATCACAATTCAACACAACACATAAACAACATGATCAACTCAACATATCATATGTTCGACATAGCAATTATATGCATCATTACACATTTTAACTAGGAAATCTCCAACAACACAGGATGAATAATTTAAGTGACTTAATCCTACCAAACTGACAACATAAGGTGATCTTTTTGGGCTTGCCAGATCAATAACAAATTGGATATAAATCCACAACACAACAACTCATTTTCTCAGATATCGCCTTTTAAATACAGAAGTATAGTATTAATGTCAGGATATAACAGTTGGATATGGGGCCTACCATTGTATTAACTAGTTTAACCAAGTCTCCTATAAGATTAGCCCATCTATTACCCTTCAAATACTACAACCTTCCGATATCTAATTATGAACTAAGTTCCTGACTTTATGCTTTACATAATTTGGTCACTTGTAATTAGTATAGCTACCCATCTATTATGGTCGCTTCGTATATGTGTACCTCGATCTTATCCACACACAGTACCAATAAATTTCTAAAGGATAAACAACATAACATTCACTTTGAGGGTTATCTTTCCAAGAAGGGTTTTCAACAAATTTGGGCTCTTAGAGCATCACAATACAATATTCACAAAATGGGATATGTAACTTTTGAAAACTTCCTCTCTAATTCTAAGTGGTCAACATAGCTCAATAACTCAACAACTCTTTATAAATTCAACACAGCAACAGAATCAATATACAACTTTACATCTCACAACTCAACCATCACAACTCATATTCAACTCTAAAATCAATAATTATTTCAACAATGTATTTTATATTCAACACAACTACACAAACAACATGCAACTCAGTCAACATACAACTCATAACTCATATCTCATATTGCCATATAACAACTTAAATTAGTAAGAAATCAATAATTCATCAACCATATCATCATGTTTTTCTTTAACAACTAACGCTAGACACTACTCTCCTTGTGCCCAACACCATCCAAACAGGGAGCTCTCTACCTTGTCCATGTCTGGTGCTACACGACCCACATCCATCGTAGCTAAGGTAGAGACCCTTAAGACCTCATGCTTGGTGGGGTAAAACATCATGTCTAGTCCCATCTCAAGTAAAGAGTCCCTACCTAACTCTCATTCGACACCACCCCTTTGGTGCTTAACAAAATCCAGACAAAGAGTTTTGGCTTAGCCATGATCAGTGCCACACAACTTTAGGCCCAACGTCACCATGTCAAAGGACTTTCAGGGTTCCTGTGCCTGGCTCCATTTAACCACATCCAATGCCATCTCAACCCGTGACAAGTCTCTCTCCTCATGTCCGGCGCCACCAATCATGCGCCTAGTGTAATTGAGATAGAGAGCCTCAAGTTAAAAGAACGTTTGACACCTTGAAGACACGCCCTACGCAGTATCATAATTTTGTATATATAGAACCTAATTTTAAGCAAAAGCCTACAATGCAAAAAGAATCCAACACATGCAACATCAAACAACAACCATATACATCACAATCAACATATATGTACACTTAGATTCAACATATGCAACCACAAAATATATTTAATCACCACATTTTTCACCAAGAACCCAAACCCCAACTTTCAACACACAACACTCTTTGATTTGATCCACATTCAGCCATGAATTGAAATGAAATCATGCAACATACAGCCAACACAACCTTAAACAACTCAACCAAACCACAAAAGCAAGAATCTAGCTTCCCTTACCTTAGGTAGCTTGAAGTCAAGGTAGAAGAAGAAGAGAACAAAACTCCACACGAGATCAATGACTTGATTCAAAGTTTCCACCACTTAAATCACAATAATATAACTTAGAAAAGAATTAGGGAGGAGAAGAAAAGAAGATTGAGAGAATAAGAGAGCTCACAAATCAAAGACCTTCTCTCTAGAATCCTATATCTTTAAAAAGGCGAGGAAAATGAGTTTATGAGACTTTGTTCAAAATAGAAATCTTATATATTCTTCTCTTCAGGGTCAAACTGGGTCTCTACTTAGAGAATCCCTTCTCAACACCATTGAATCTCTAAAGTGATCCTCAAACCTTTAAATCTTTCAATTCTGACAACTTAACTTAACAATTAGAGGTAATATAATACTATCACAACTTATAGTGTTATAGAGTTAATCCTAAGACTGAAAATTTCATGTTAACAAGGAAATAATGACAGGATTTGGAGATCACTAGTTTAGTTAGACTTTTACCTTAGGTAAATTATTTAAGTCTTTTTTTTTTCTTTACACTTTTACAAGTATAAATTTAAAATATAAATGTGTTATTATATTATTTAAGTATAACCTTATTATTTATATTTAAAAAATCATTTAATTTCCACCTATTTTAGATTCTACCTTGTAGACACCCAATTTCGTCGGGAGCATACAAACAAGGAAATGAACCTTTGTTATGGAGGGAAGGAGCTCCCGAAGCATGCAGAAAACAAGACAGGACATTAGAAGGCCCAAAATCCCAAACAAGCTGGTTTTAGAAGACTGGGACGAGCTGTTCTAAAACCGGAACGGGTCGTTCCCAATTTGGAACGGGCCGTTCCAAGTTCCTAAAAGGGCCAAAACCCTAGTTTGGAACGGGCTGTTCCTGAATTCGAGTGGGTCGTTCCAAGATTGGAACGGGCCGTTCCAAACTCCTCAAAAAAGGGCTAAAACCTTAACTAGAATAGGTCGTTCCTAAACTAGAAAACAGGTCGTTTCAAGTTATTAAAATGGCCTAAAAACTCCCTTTTGGAATGGTCGTTCCAGTCTAGGCAATTGTGTGTTAATCTCATTTTTGGAATGGGTCGTTCTAGTTTCAGAACAGGTCGTTCTAGTCACAAAATTAACACACAACGTTCGGATCCAGAACGAGCCGTTCTAGTTTTGGAACGAGCCGTTCTGGAAACTTTCTGTTGCCTATAAATAGATAGCTTGGGCACAGTTTTCAGGGCTGTTAAGATAATTCTGTTTAGATATACTAGTTTATCTTCTCCTAAGTTATCCTTAGTCAGTTTTATCTAAATCCCTAAACTTTAGGGATTGATTATATTTTATGCCTATTTATTTTATTGTACTCATTCAGATTCAGAATAAGAAATTATTCATATTCAAGTTGGTACCAGAGCACTCTGGTCCAGGAACCCTAATCCAGCAGCCAACATCTAGGGTTTCTAGGGTTTTTGAGTTTTGTCCGCGGTTGCCGGAGTTGACACCGCCTGCACACTCAAAGGTCGCTGATCGGCCACCCCGTCGCGTGTCGCCGTCTCA